TAACTAATTGTAACCCTTCTGCCACAGTAGTTCAACCCCTGCTTACATAATAATACAGAGCCCCTACAGACAACAGCCTCATTCGCTACACAACCTGACTCCTCCCCAAAGCTACAGACACCGGGATTATAATGGACAGTTGTAACTGGCCTGTAGGCTCTCTCTTATGGAGTGGAGCGAATAACCCCCGCCCCTGCACGAATCTAATTGTAACCCTTCTGCCACAGTAGTTCAACCCCTGCTTACATAATAATACAGAGCCCCTACAGACAACAGCCTCATTCGCTACACAACCTGACTCCTCCCCAAAGCTACAGACACCGGGATTATAATGGACAGTTGTAACTGGCCTGTAGGCTCTCTCTTATGGAGTGGAGCGAATAACCCCCGCCCCTGCACGAATCACTGTTTGGAATTCTGTAGCATGTAGGACGAGCTCAGATCTGACAGCCATAATGTCCCCTGTTGGCCTTTCAATGTGTGTGAAACTTCCAAGACTAAGAAGCTGACCTATGCTACCCTGTTTAAAACTCTACTCTTAGGTCACTGGAGGTCTAGGTCTGCCTATGTCCAGGTTCCTAGGTCTGCTTCCCTGATTGTTTTGCTGTATGACTAACTCCAGCAACTGTTTTCCCTTGATTGTGCCACAGATGTATTGGTCCGGATATAATCATTCTGGATGTCTCCATTTTAAATGATCTTATTGTCAAGAGACACAATTTTATGTGGACTCCTTGAAACCTGTCGTGCATAAGAACAAAAAAAGTTGCTTTTGTTGAAACATAAACTAGGAAAGCCTGACTCTACATAGCCTATCAAGAAAATGTACGTCATTATTATTCCATTGAAAAACCGAGCGATTACACCAGAAATGCATGTATGAGAAAAACATAAAAAGCAACAGAATTTCTGATTCAAATGGTTTGATGTGTCGTAGACTCCCAGAAATTATTTCTAATATTACACACTAGTGTACTGCTCACTAATGATGGTTGCCATGGCAAAGATCTTAAGTATTGAAAAGTGGCATTTTATAATGGGCTAAAAGTTCTTGAGTATCTTGTGATAAACGGGACTAATTAGATGTATTTGATATATTGCTTAGACAATGACCAGCACAGCTTTTTGTTAAGAATTCTTTGGTCTCTTTGGAGAGTTGGTGTGTGTAGACAAGGCAAATCTATACCCGAATAAACTTCATATGCTACAAAATATATTT